AAAACATCGATACGTCTATAGAAATATTAATTTCATACATAAGAGATATTTCTGCAATGAATACATATAAATATCAGAACTACACAAATTATGGTTGTAGAGATGTCCTAATATTCAAACAATTTTCTACACTTTTTATGTCTCAATGCAGTAATAAAAACATTCTTAACTTTTTTTGGTACAAAATTAACTTATATAATTACACGATTTTTGAATCAACAGCAACCTCTATTGAACAGCTTTTTTTACGCATTTTTACTGGATTTTATTTGTTTTCTTTAGACCAGTCCTAGATATCCAGTCAGCTGAAGCAATTTTAATTTTAGAACTTAAGTACGTATATAATGTATTGTATGAATTATGTGAGCATAATTCTTTTGATAAAATTGTTTATCAATGTATTACAAAACATCTACATATGTACTCTTTAAAAAAATTATTTAAATAATCTGTCGGGGGTCACCAAGACTACTTATTTTATAATATAAAATTGTAACTTCACTATTTTGTACATTATTTCTTTGTTCTTTTAATGTTTGTGGTTATTTTTCCTATACAATAATGTATTTAAACGTTGACTGATAGTAATTAAAAGTTATTTAAAAAACCAGTTATTGTTTATATTATTCTAGAGGTACATAAGTTACTTACACTAATTGTACTACCCAACATTAAGGACTAAAAAAAAAAATATTGTGAACTTATAGTGATTCGCCTTACAAATATAAATTTAATTTAACATGAACGATAACTCAAAAATTGTAGAAACCAGCTAGTATTAGTTTATTCGGTAAAGTATATATTTCAAAAATAGTGATGAATGCTAAATTATTTAATACAGACTGGACTTAGTAAAAACAAAAGTAAAAAAAAGTCGTAAGTAAAGAAATCCTTTTCCACTTGTTGATTGTGGTCATTTCCAGAGATCCGACAAAATTCCCATCAAACCACAAACTGTCCAACGACGATTAGTTCCCATGACTGGCGTAAGAAAAGAACTCCTCGCATACATACACGAGCCATACATTCACCAAACATCCCGCGAACGCCCGTCAATGGACCATATCGATTTCCATTCACCAAATTCCTCCGTACACGAGACAAAAAGGACTCTAAACCATTGAGTAAAAAAAAAAATGTAAGCTAAATCCCAAAAATTCCAACGCAAAACTCTTCCTCTACTTCATTCACCAATGGAAAATAAAAGCAAACAGTCTAAAGATCCCAAGTCAAAAGCTCAAATTCCCAGGAAGAAGCACGCGTAATCGACCCCACCCCCTCCATTCAACCCCTTCCGATAGAATCAATCGATCGAATTCCATATACCCGTATCCCTTTTTCTCATTGCAAAACACAAGTATCGGGCATCCATTTCGTCGTCACCCACCAAAAACAAAAACAAAAAAACAAAAAAACAAAAGTGCACACAAATCCATCGCAATTACACGGGCGACGGAAGCCTCCATCAAAACGACGCGCGTTCGAGGGATCGCGTCAAACTCCTCTCACATGCGCACGTTTGACGTCTCTCCTCGAAAAAAAAGAGCCATGCAGAACAACAGCCGTCACCTCTCCCTCCCAACATCCAACCACTGCTGCCATTACCACGTCATTATGCTCAGAAAAAAAAACAACCCCAAACAGGTATATACTACCTATACGCACTTTCGTCCCTCTCTCCCTGTGACACCTTTCTCCCTCCGTTCGTTGGCGCATAATATGACGTATCGAACCCTCCGTGTGCACTGGTTCCCTACCGTCGCTCATTTCCTTCCTTCCTTCCTGCAACGTGCACCCTCGGCTACTGTGCATGTATACCAACCACTCCGGTCCTCCCTCCCTCTTTTTTCCTTGGGGACCAACCGTATGAGTGGTTACATAATGCAATGCGAGCCTACGTACGCGTAACACCTGGCTGTGTATACCCTATGCTTGATCTTGGACAAACATGGCTGCGATTGTACGGTTTCGCGAGTAAGTTGTACTGAAGATTTAATCGCAGTCGGTGTACAAGACACGCAAATGTCATGCATATATATATATATATATATATATATATATATATATATATGTGTGAGGATTCGGTGCGTGAAACGTGTAGCAATGCGTCCGTGCAATTATACAGTGGTACTGTTGCTAACGAACTTGACGCGGGTGCGTGGGTGCGGAAAGGTATATTATTACACGCGCAAAGTGACGGCTCGAGCGGATCCAGAAAATTGGAGGGCCGTGTCGTACACGAGGGCGTTATGGAAATATTGTACGAACCACTGCACGGCCAGGCTTCTGGTGTGCATTATTATACGGCTCCTCGTTTGTTATTTTACTTCGATTCATTCTTGAGGATTTCCAGGCAAAAATAATGGCTGCCTGTTTCGAGGGAGTTTCTGGGATCCCGTTTACCCGTGTGTTTCAATTAAAATCTGGTTGGTTCAAGCGTGCAAAGCAAGGATTGTTCAAAAGTGTGTTTGGAAGTGGATGGTGAATTTTTTCTTTTCTTTACTTGGTAAATTGCATACGCTGAGTTGTGAAATAAGTATTTGGTTGTGGAGAGATCACCTGATGGCTTATATTTACGGGGTATTTGGTTTTTTTTGTATAAAAGTATGCGTTTTTGAACGGTATTTCTTACCCCATTACCAATGATTTTTTTCCCAGAACGGGTGTAGGGAACCAACCAGCCAAATGATTTCTAGGCAGGAAATTGTACCCCTGAAGTACTTAGTGATTTATGAATATTGAAAGTTTAGGTCCTAAAATTTTTTATTCCGAACCCTAGAGTTGAAGCTTTATTTCTACATAAGACCTTGAGAATAACAATAAAATATTGGGTTACTCACTGAATCGATACTAGGATGTTTTAGATCGATCCGAAATTACATACCTAAGCACGAATTTTTACTGCAAACCTTTCGTACGTGCCCGTTAGAGTCACGCAGACTTGCAGAAACTTTCATGATTATCGGTAAATAATTACGTTATTGGTGTAGTTTGGTCCTTGTTCATCAACTGTTATTATATCGAGCTGTGCAAAAAAACGTCTTCCACACTTTGGTGAAGAAAATATAATTGGACGCCTGGTAAGTTTAGTTGTACGCTATTTTCACCAAATCTTTATTAAATTAATAGAGAATATTCGCGAGTTGTGTTACAGTTGATATAATCGACAAACCGATAAAATTTTTTTTTTTTTGTTCTTATTTTAATGTATATTGGGTCAATACTTTAACCATCGGTTTCCTACATAAAAACATGATGAGTTCTCTTGGACCAATACTCTATAGACTTTGCTTCATCAGCTACTGTTCAAAAACGTACTCCTAATTCATTCGATTGAAAATTCGATGAAAAATCACAAGGTAAATAACTGTTCGTTAAAAAACTCTAGTGAAAAAAAAAATTATCGCCAAGTACATGTGAGCTATCTAGTTGTGTCCTTTTACCGTGACTCCCTGCCATTACAACCAAAACTAATAGCTCCTGCGCATAAATAGACGAAACGACCCTATATGCGTATACCCCCAGTGCTTCAAAATGCACGTCCACGTACATACGTCGTTTCTCATTAGACGCTCGGCATAAACAGGCAAAAATCACGTATACGAGCCAACGCAAAGAAAGCAAGTGCCCATGTGGGACTCTCTCCCTCTCTTTTCATCCTCAGCGACAAACGGAAAGTGGAATGTATATTATAATGGGGTGTTTCGCGGGAGCCTCGTAATGCATCCCGTGTGCCTCCCTCCTACCCCTTACGATCATTATCCGTCCTTTATTTCGCTCTTTCCTCCTCGACCACGCGAATTTTCGCAATGCCTTGTTTCGGGAGAAAATGAAGGCGTCGCGCGTGTACGGGTGCAGTGTGCATCATCTCGAGAGGTTGCGTAACGAGAGACAAAAAGTCATTTGCGCGCATTTTCAAAGTGCGAGAGGAGGAGGAGTAAAAGGGGTGTGGAAAAAAAATCGCAGGGCTGTAGTGGGATAGGCTTGGCTTGCTTGTGTATTGCAGTGAAGTCTGAGGTGGGGAGAGGAGCAAAGGCAGAGGGGGGAGGGGTGTTTCCTCGACGCAAATGCGACAGAGTCGGTGATTGTGAGACTAAGAGATGATGCTCTTTTGGAGGGATTTCACCGAGTACGCGCGTGCAACGGGCACGGGTGAGTGTATGCGTGGGTATTAAGGGGGTGGGAGGGGTGAGGGTCGTAGCAGGAAGTAGGCTGGGGGCACGTATGGGTGCGAGAGCGGAGACTTTCGGAGAAGGAATAATCAAACGCCATTATGGCTTTTTTCTCTCTTTCTCTTTTTCTTGCTCCCTTTTCGCGTTTTTTTTTCTTCTTCTTTTTTTCCTTTCTTTCATACTTTTACGCCCAACGTGGCGTCGCTCTCATTTGTTTCGAATTTCGTGGGGATGAAGATCTTCTAGGGAATTTCCCGGGGGAATTGAATTTTTCTAATGGATCCGTTACCTCCGTCTCGGACGCGAATGAAATTTTCTAGACATTGCTTTTTAAATGTATGAATGTGATCAGCAAAATTAGCCAATGTGCTGTTTCTATGGCAACCGTACTTTTCAACTAGTGCATGATAGATGATTGCAGTCCGAGAATGATGCCCGAGTCAGTGAGAATTTTTTTTCAAGGTTTTAACGTGTCTTATGGTCCCAAGATTTTTCAAGGTATATTTCATAGTCGGTTCTCAATCCAACTGAGATTTTGAGAAAGCATTTTCAAATTTTTTCAAATTGACTCAAATAAAACATGGCATAGAGGCGAAATTTTAAATAATAGTCGTGAGGAGAAAAAAACAAATTTTTACGACTCGAAAATTGAAATTATTTGATAAAATACTGATGTAAAGTTAATTCAATACACATAAGAAAAAACGATGTATTGTTACCAAAAAGACAAATTATTTTATATTACTGATTCTGTATGAATATTAATTTTTCTTCCCTTTAAAATAACCCAAAGATGCTCATTGAAAGTAAAAGCATCAAGTATACTAATTTCAACTAACAATTTTCTTAAATTGAAGGTTAATCGATTCTTCTGCCGATGTCAGTGAAGCTTTAGAATCTAAGACTACTGTGGTTCCAGGATCAATCGTAACGGTGTATTCTCGTAGAATCATCGTTAAAACTACTTTGGTGTAAAGTAGGCCAAGCTTTTTACCTGCAACAAAAAAAAAATATTGTTCCAGCATATGCATATATAATATAATAATCAAAACTGAAGTAAAATACAAAAAATTCGTGATAATTTGTTAAAGTACTAAATGTATCATTTTGATTAATAAATAATTAATAATGTTTCAGTATTACCAATCTAGAACTGAGCGGAGTTTTAAGCAAAACTAAGACGTTTTACGCACCAGGGCACATTCTGGGACCGATTCCAAATGGAAGGAAAGCATCAGATACTGTTTGGCCACCAGCGAACCTGCTGGGATCGTAAATCTCCGGTTGCTCGAAGAAACGGGGATCCCAATGCATGCCATAGAGTGAGACGAAAATCGGAGTTCCTTTTTCTATGATGATGCCAGTATCAGGAATCTGTGCAGATTAAGAACGATGCATAAGTCACGGAAGAGAGTAGTCACTGTGGTAACTTACTGGCGATAAGTTTATGTTTGTATGGATAGTTATAACGCATACTCATGGAAAGTATATCATTCACCTACGTGTACGTCTACTTTTACAAACGACTTATTAGACTTCAGTGTGATTACCAGGAGAACTGCAAATAATAGTTGGATCTAAGATGTACACAAAAGATGCATTCATTTCTGCCTCACCCATTTTCTACCAAGGGCACAGTAAGCGTCCAAATGTCACAAAAAACATTGTTTAAAGTGTCCAGAATGTGCGTCTATTATTCTTTTTTCGATAAAGTAGTTAGTGTTTAAATGCAATACTTATGATGGAAAACTTTCTTACCTCGTAGTCTTCATTGGTTAAGCGATCAAGAGTCGGTACAGGCGGATACATCCTTATGGCTTCATAGACACACTGGTCTAAGTATTTCATGTCGTTAAACCCACTGAAGGTCAAGCCGTGCTCATTGATTGCACGTTCTATGTCCTCACGTGCCTTATCTTGAAAATCATGGTGAGATGCCAGCTTCATGAGTGTAAAGGAAATGGAATTGGCGCTCGATTCGAAGCCAGCGTAGAACGTACCTGTCAGATTCACCAATTGTTCACCCTCCATGCCTGTAATAGTAAAAGTTTCATTTATTACCCTTGTGGTTTGTACATACCAAGACAGTTATGATACAAGCATCGTGCAGCATATTTTTGATACAATAAAAGTATATCACTAAGAAAAAAAAAATTAAAATTATAGAGAAACTCCAGCAAAAGTTACCGTTCTGCACAGTAAATAGGATACAAGTTGACAAAAAAAAAATTATTATTTTTAATGGTTAAGATTGTTGTTTTAACACTATACATTGTAGTTTGAATAGTTAGAATTATGGTTACAACAGTAAAAATTAGGAGAAATAAATTTGATATTAATTTCATGTTTCACATGTTTTAGAGTTTATCCTTTAATAATTGAAGGATGATCTTCTAACATGATTCATTCATTATTAGAAAGATTACGAAGAACTGCTCAAACTGTTTCTTATAAAGTTAGAATAATATTAATGATTATATCTATTTTAATTTTAAAAGAAGTAATTCATTTATTCAATTTAATGAATTTTTAAACATAACTATGATTTTTTAAACCTAATTTTCCATTACTGTTTTTTTTTTAGTTGGACTATTAGCATAAATAAATCGAACTTCATTAATTTTTCTGAAGAAGAATCAGAATTAGTTTCAGGATTTAATACTGAATGTATAAAAGAAAGATTTTTGTTAAATTTTTATTGCATAATGTGGGATAATTATATTTAGAATAATATTATTAATATTTTCATTTATAATAGGAAAGACTTTTTATATTGAAATTTTATTTAATTTGTTTAGTAATTTTATTTTTAGTAGTTTAAATTCAAGGAACTTTCACTCGATTTCTCTATAATTTTTATTATTTTTTTCTCCCAGTCTAGTATGTAATTTTTGTGGGCACCCTGGTATGTGAAGGGCATAATTGCGTAATTAAGTAAAAATTTACCATGACAAATTTTTTATAATACGTGTATTCATGGAAGTATATCACTGATATCATTGCTTGTTTTATTTTTCCTTTTAAGATTTAGTTATTAAATTTTTAATGATTCTCAGATTATATTTGTTAACCAATTTTTTTTTCTTTTTTTTTTTTTTTTATAGCTGACAAAATAAGTAGTAGCCTGGCCAGCCTGTTCTTCACTAAAGTTACCGTATAGGGCACACTATCCTTTTTTTATAAACAAATATATCACTTTTTCTTATCCAGTAATGAAAAATAGGTTTCATGTGGTAAACAAACAATGCTCAATTTTATTACTTTTCATTTGCATTGTATAAAGAATAAGTTAGCCGTACAAGTTTTATTACTCACTGTACATAGGATTTTGATTGCTGTTTTTCAGGTCGATAAGTGCATCGACAAAATCCCCTCGTATTTTGTTAGTTTCTTCACGATTATTTATGCTATTCCATAGACAACTCCGTATTAATGTTTTGTTTGATTGAAGGTAAGATCCAAATAATGTACTCAGTTCTGGTATGTAAAACAGGTTTAACAAAGCAATTTTTCTTTTCAATCCATAGAATAAAGCATCTCCTGAAATGCAAAAGGAGATGAATGATTCGATTATAAGAAAGAAAGTTTAGTAGGTGAAGTATGAGAAAAAGCTATGAAAATATAAGATTCTATTATTATTTTTTTTTATCTCGATAAACATGTGTAAATCTCCTTAATATCTAGGTGAACGGTTACTACAAGAAATAATAAATATATTAACGGGCTTAAACTATTCTATAATTATTATGATTCAAATTTACTCTAACACTAAAAAAAAGTAGAGGTGGTCCAAGTAATACAAGTATTATCAAGAATAACAAGAAAATCCAAGCAAAAATAACTAAGAGAAAACCACAACAGTGTCAGGATTAAATGAAAATTCAAATCTCATGGTCATAACTAGAAAAAATTTTACAATCTGCAATGTGTTACATTGTTAGAAAATTTAGGAAACATTTACCAAATTTGGTATGGTCGTTGTGATCGTGAAAGGAGTCAACTGTTATGCCAAGAGCAATGTTGGTAATGGCATTATTCGTATAGTTGTAGCTCAACTTCTGAGCATCGATTATCATACTTTCATCTGGCTCATGGCTTTGTTCCTTAAGATAGTTCATCATCGTCTCAGTTGTCTGCATCAACAGAGGCAGCATTTGCCTTAGTCTACCACCGTTGAGTGTGGGAGTGATCTTGGACCTCAGGTATTTCCAGGTAGGATTCTTTATACCAAACAGATTAATCATGCCCATACTGTCCATCTGTTGACTTCCTCCAAAGTGCCGGTTTGAAAAGTTTTTAAAACTGCTTATCATAATATTTTTAATAATCTTGGGATCGCGAAGCAGCAGACACGGCTTGTGGAAGATGTAGAAGCCAACAAAAGGTGCATCCTTATTGATGGTGGAGTTGTGGAGTACACCCATGTGCCATCCTGGGGCAGTGCGGAAGAGCATGGCGTCCTTAACGTGGCCAAACACTAGGTCAGCGTTTGGCAATTGCTCGACACCTCGCCGGTTCCAGTAGTTTAGCTTGTATCTAGCGTAGGAACGAAACAGCACGAGCGCCACAGCCCCGAAGACGATTGCGAGAAACAAGCTGAGAAACATTGTTATCCAGATGACAGGCTTAAACAAAAGTATTTAATTATGTTATCATTATGTTGACGATGAAAAAGTTCAACTGCTTTAGAGGAAATAGCTTTAGTTATCAGTAAAGAATTTTAAACTTTATCTATCACTTTGATCTACAGTTATTAAAAGGTTACGCACTAACTAATCTACAAATCATTGAGTGTTTGATATGAATAGCCTTCTAAGAATAAACAACTAAGTTACCTTCTATTCTTAAATATTATTCTCGAATTTTCTGCGATACATGTCTACTTAGTTTTGTGTGATAATTCCTTATATAAAAGTGTATCAAAATTTTTTAATCCAAGATTTAGAATAGATTACAAAAGATATCAAATTCATTTTGTGTTTGAAATAATTAAATTCATTTTCTTTATTATTTTCATGATTATAAAACTTTAATGGTTAAGATTGTTGTTTTAACACTATACATTGTAGTTTGAATAGTTAGAATTATGGTTACAACAGTAAAAATTAGGAGAAATAAATTTGATATTAATTTCATGTTTCACATGTTTTAGAGTTTATCCTTTAATAATTGAAGGATGATCTTCTAACATGATTCATTCATTATTAGAAAGATTACGAAGAACTGCTCAAACTGTTTCTTATAAAGTTAGAATAATATTAATGATTATATCTATTTTAATTTTAAAAGAAGTAATTCATTTATTCAATTTAATGAATTTTTAAACATAACTATGATTTTTTAAACCTAATTTTCCATTACTGTTTTTTTTTTAGTTGGACTATTAGCATAAATAAATCGAACTTCATTAATTTTTCTGAAGAAGAATCAGAATTAGTTTCAGGATTTAATACTGAATGTATAAAAGAAAGATTTTTGTTAAATTTTTATTGCATAATGTGGGATAATTATATTTAGAATAATATTATTAATATTTTCATTTATAATAGGAAAGACTTTTTATATTGAAATTTTATTTAATTTGTTTAGTAATTTTATTTTTAGTAGTTTAAATTCAAGGAACTTTCACTCGATTTCTCTATAATTTTTATTATTTTTTTCTCCCAGTCTAGTATGTAATTTTTGTGGGCACCCTGGTATGTGAAGGGCATAATTGCGTAATTAAGTAAAAATTTACCATGACAAATTTTTTATAATACGTGTATTCATGGAAGTATATCACTGATATCATTGCTTGTTTTATTTTTCCTTTTAAGATTTAGTTATTAAATTTTTAATGATTCTCAGATTATATTTGTTAACCAATTTTTTTTTCTTTTTTTTTTTTTTTTATAGCTGACAAAATAAGTAGTAGCCTGGCCAGCCTGTTCTTCACTAAAGTTACCGTATAGGGCACACTATCCTTTTTTTATAAACAAATATATCACTTTTTCTTATCCAGTAATGAAAAATAGGTTTCATGTGGTAAACAAACAATGCTCAATTTTATTACTTTTCATTTGCATTGTATAAAGAATAAGTTAGCCGTACAAGTTTTATTACTCACTGTACATAGGATTTTGATTGCTGTTTTTCAGGTCGATAAGTGCATCGACAAAATCCCCTCGTATTTTGTTAGTTTCTTCACGATTATTTATGCTATTCCATAGACAACTCCGTATTAATGTTTTGTTTGATTGAAGGTAAGATCCAAATAATGTACTCAGTTCTGGTATGTAAAACAGGTTTAACAAAGCAATTTTTCTTTTCAATCCATAGAATAAAGCATCTCCTGAAATGCAAAAGGAGATGAATGATTCGATTATAAGAAAGAAAGTTTAGTAGGTGAAGTATGAGAAAAAGCTATGAAAATATAAGATTCTATTATTATTTTTTTTTATCTCGATAAACATGTGTAAATCTCCTTAATATCTAGGTGAACGGTTACTACAAGAAATAATAAATATATTAACGGGCTTAAACTATTCTATAATTATTATGATTCAAATTTACTCTAACACTAAAAAAAAGTAGAGGTGGTCCAAGTAATACAAGTATTATCAAGAATAACAAGAAAATCCAAGCAAAAATAACTAAGAGAAAACCACAACAGTGTCAGGATTAAATGAAAATTCAAATCTCATGGTCATAACTAGAAAAAATTTTACAATCTGCAATGTGTTACATTGTTAGAAAATTTAGGAAACATTTACCAAATTTGGTATGGTCGTTGTGATCGTGAAAGGAGTCAACTGTTATGCCAAGAGCAATGTTGGTAATGGCATTATTCGTATAGTTGTAGCTCAACTTCTGAGCATCGATTATCATACTTTCATCTGGCTCATGGCTTTGTTCCTTAAGATAGTTCATCATCGTCTCAGTTGTCTGCATCAACAGAGGCAGCATTTGCCTTAGTCTACCACCGTTGAGTGTGGGAGTGATCTTGGACCTCAGGTATTTCCAGGTAGGATTCTTTATACCAAACAGATTAATCATGCCCATACTGTCCATCTGTTGACTTCCTCCAAAGTGCCGGTTTGAAAAGTTTTTAAAACTGCTTATCATAATATTTTTAATAATCTTGGGATCGCGAAGCAGCAGACACGGCTTGTGGAAGATGTAGAAGCCAACAAAAGGTGCATCCTTATTGATGGTGGAGTTGTGGAGTACACCCATGTGCCATCCTGGGGCAGTGCGGAAGAGCATGGCGTCCTTAACGTGGCCAAACACTAGGTCAGCGTTTGGCAATTGCTCGACACCTCGCCGGTTCCAGTAGTTTAGCTTGTATCTAGCGTAGGAACGAAACAGCACGAGCGCCACAGCCCCGAAGACGATTGCGAGAAACAAGCTGAGAAACATTGTTATCCAGATGACAGGCTTAAACAAAAGTATTTAATTATGTTATCATTATGTTGACGATGAAAAAGTTCAACTGCTTTAGAGGAAATAGCTTTAGTTATCAGTAAAGAATTTTAAACTTTATCTATCACTTTGATCTACAGTTATTAAAAGGTTACGCACTAACTAATCTACAAATCATTGAGTGTTTGATATGAATAGCCTTCTAAGAATAAACAACTAAGTTACCTTCTATTCTTAAATATTATTCTCGAATTTTCTGCGATACATGTCTACTTAGTTTTGTGTGATAATTCCTTATATAAAAGTGTATCAAAATTTTTTAATCCAAGATTTAGAATAGATTACAAAAGATATCAAATTCATTTTGTGTTTGAAATAATTAAATTCATTTTCTTTATTATTTTCATGATTATAAAACAGTGATATTATGCTTTTGAGAAATTAAATTTGTTATCGCTGTATTTTTAAAATCATAATGTGATTAACTTTATTTTTTTATCATTCAAAAATGAGTTCATTCAGTTTTCAAAGTACAAAATAAACAATTTTTTTTTTTTAAATTCAATCTTTTTTTTTAGTCTTTCTAGAATAATTATTATATCATTAAGTCTTTTTGAAGTATAAATTGCTGCTTTTACATTTTTTAACGTTAAAATACAATATTTTTGTTTGAAGTGATGTAATATTACAATAGCAAGGTTGTCAAATCTAGAATATAAAGCGTTACCATGTGAAAGTCAATCTCATACTACGTAGTTATGGGATATAAATTATAAAAACGTTTCTGACGTTAAAATAATAAGGTAAAACAGTCATATAAAAAATGTATTAAAAATAAGTTTCTCAGATATCACTTGTGAAAGCAAGTAAAACCATTTTTTTCCAGTCAATAAATCTTAGGAAAATTTTGTTTTTTCAACCAATCTTATTATTACTTACTACAGAGCAGTCGTATGCTTCATAGCTATGAAAAACTAAAAAATAAAAAAAGCAATTAAACGTAGTCGTACCATATTTTTCTATTTTTAGTTATTTCGATATTAAAACAAATATTCAGTCTAACGACGTGGGTGCTTCGTACCAGGGATACTTGTTTATTGTATGAATCTAAGCTTTATATTTCCTTGCCTCGACTGTGATAATACAAAAGTTAATATCCGTACAAAAACTTTAAAAGAATCAACTCCAAGGAATCGTGACTTCCATTTCTTTAAAAGAGACGAATTATCAAACAGAAATCCCTAAAGTTTCTCTAGCAAAGAAAAAAAAAAAAAAAAAAAAAAAAGGACTACGCCATTCTGCAGGGACATGGAGGGAAATATAATTTCCGCTTCCCAGGCTAGCATTGCTCCACGAAGAGCAAGTATATGTATCGAGCCAGATACGCGGCTGTCAACGAATAGAGCCAATAATCGCTGCTCCGCAGTGCTCCATTCGCTCTCTCTCTCTCTCTCTTTTTATACCCAATATCTCCTATAATTGGATCACGCGCGCACAAGCTAGATAATGTGATAACGTCGCCGTCACCGTGGTCGTTGGACTGACAGTGTTCGTGTCACAGAGAAGCAGCTATTGGTATCTCCCAGAAATGCAGGGTCGGGGTGAATCGGTCGTAGTGCAGGCGTTCGACAGATTGTGCCAATTTCCGAAACAGAGCGGCGTGACTTGTGCCGCGTAATAGACTTTCATTATGTGGGGCCTGCTTGCACGTGACTGATGCCGTGGTGCTTCATTTAGAAGAGAAATGCGAGCAACGAGTGTATGGATTAAACATTTTGATGGCGAGTGTCACTGAATTTTGGGGCGATGATGAGCAGGTTTTGACAGACTCTCGAGATGGAGGGAGTGAGAGTAAATTTGGGAGACGAAGTAGGGAACATGATATCGAAGATAATGCTTTGGATTCAAAGAAAACGTGTGACATCATAATTAGGATGATAACAATAACATCCATGATGATTTAGATAGCTTATCACTTGACCCTGATTTCTCAAATAAAAAAAAGATTTTTAGATTAAGTGATGAGTAAAAATAGTCATTTCCATACAAAAACAACAACAACAACAACAACAAGAACCACAACAGTCATAATAATAAGAAAAATATGAGAAAAAGCTATGAAAATATAAGATTCTATTATTATTTTTTTTTATCTCGATAAACANAGCAACAAGAATAATAAAAACAACAATTTTAATAGTAATAATAAAAATAATAATAATGTTTATTTGAAGTGATTTAATACTTTGAGAGTTCATATTTGTTTATTTTTACAGTACATAAAAAATAAGTCTACGTATTGTACCTACTCCTACCTAAGGTCAACCGTAACATTTTTTTTCTCCTTGGTACTAATCATGTAAATCGTATTTTTTATCATGGTTGAATGTACAATTATTAAATTATTTAAAAAATTTCTTTACAAAACAAAATAAAATAGCCTGGTTACGACGATTGAGGCAAGTATATTTAACGTATTTTTAATTGTCGAAAAAAAAATTTTTAACTGTTCTTCGTCTCTTTAAGAATCATAAATCTAAAACTCACGTTTGGCCTCGCGCACACCTTTTGCTGTTTCTTGTAAAATAGGATCATTCATATTCCAAGTTTATCGTTCCAAGTTTCAAGTCATTAAAAAAAATTTTTTTTCTAATTTTTTTTTACAAATTAATGCTCAGAAAAAAATAGCAGCGGAGAAAGAGAGAGATAACGAGAGGGAGAGACACGGAAAAAATGACTTCTAAAGTAATTCAAGCAGCTTTATCACAGAAATATCCCTAACGAATTGGCGGGCCTCTCTCTCCTCTCGCCTCCCTCCCTCCTCCCTTCTTCTGCTTCGTACCAGACCAATGTGCATTAACGCGACGAGGCGTAAAACCCGAGTACCAGCGATTACTTCTAAAAAATGTAAGGTACAAGGAGGCTAAAGCCCCGCCCTAGCCCCCTTAGGCTCTCTTTTTTACTCACTTTTCTGCTTTCATTCCACCTCTTTTCTTCTCCACCGAGTCTAAAGTTATAACCCTGGTGCTTTTCTGCTGACGTGCCCGCGACTTTTTCACGAATGTCCTGTAAGCTTGATGAATTATTCCCAGCCGGAAATGACGGAAGCGTGCAGTTTTATACGTGTAATGTGTGCGTGTGCGTTTATTAATTTCATGTGGCTTGAGAGTCATGTGCATACATGAAAAAAAAAAAAAATTAAGGAACCTTTGTTACGTGCTTAATGAAAAAGGGGCTTTAATCGTCAAAAAATGAATTAATAAATAAAATGAGTAAGCAAACAGCGTGGAAGCAGATTTGATAGTTCAGGTAGTCCGTTGCAGAAAGAAGACTACTTATGAAAAAAAAAATTTTTAATGTGAAAAAAAGTTTGTCACAGTTAACAATTTGAGTCAATCTTACTATAGAGCTTTTACTGTACAAGCAAACATATACTCCAAGTTTTGAAAAATCAAAATCATTCGGAATCATTAAAAGTCACGAGGGAATATTTCAAGTCATTGAAAATGTTTTGAAAATATCAGAATTTTTATTATGATTTCGTAATGCGCAGTGACTCACTCAAGTCTCATAACTAATTTTTTTGTTAATTATTATTTCAATTTTTTTTTTGTATTCACAAGCACACGTTTTTGTTTCTTACAATTTACTTGACATAAATATCAAGTAAAAGAATTTGATGAGTAAAATATTCACAGCTAAATAATGTCACTTTAAATACCTATTACGTAATAGAATTTTCCGCACTCGGGTGGTTTTGGGAGGCTGGTACTTCCTCGGGCGAAAAAGCAGTTTTCCAGAACTCGTTCGAAAAGTCTCCTTTACGAACCTCGTTACGACCCTCGCCTTCGGCTCGGGCCGCAAACCTCTCGGTTCGCAAACAAAGACTTTTCAATCTCGTAGGAAAACTACTATTTACTAGAAGAATAGTAAACGCTTAGTAATTTTATACTATAAAAACTTTGAAGTGATTTTTTTCGATAAAAACTGTTGTGCTTCGTGAATTTAAGGGCTATGTTTATCACTGAATGGATAAAAACACTTTTTTATTTCTTGGAACTAACAAAGATTCTTTAGAAAAGTGTCCAAACCTTATGTATAAAGCCTTCAAAACAACTTGGAGTGCATACAAGTTGAAAATTATTTGTGGTTGTAGCCGCGGGCTTTGACTGCGAATTTGTTACTGATCTTCCTTATTGAGTCTAAAATTTCTCTCGTCATATCCAAGCAAATCATTATGCCAACAGACACCTTATATCATGACTGGACTAGCATTAGATTCATAACATTTTTATTTTATTTTTACTGATCACAATGTTTCGCACGACTAATTATCTCCAATTATCTACAAGTACTTATTTGTAATGATAGTCCCAAGATCATTTAACCACTTTAAAATCCAATCTCTTTGTCTCACCTTGTATATTGCAATTAACTTGACATAAATATAAAATAAAAGATATTGACGGCTGTAATACTCATAGCTAAATAATATCACTCTGAATACCGATTATACGTAAAAAAATTTGACTAGTGGAATAAAAGACCCAAAAAATAGTCGATCACCATTATTTCACAATCCTCTTTTTACCAGTACTCAATGAAAGTGATTATATTATGAGCTTACATAATTTCTCTCCAGAAACTCCTCATTAAAATCATAGTTTGAGATTCCTTGTGATTTTCATTGCATGTGATTATTGTAGTTTTAAAATCTCACTTTTAGTATAATTTGCATAATATTTTATGTTTAATACTCATAGAATATAGAATAGTATTATATTACTAGAGTGCAAGGTAGGTATGTAGTTTTTGAGAATGGTATGAACCCGAAAATATTGTATAGAAAGTCAAAATACGTACACACCAACACAAGAAATTCAAAATAAATTTTTTAAGAACGGCTTCTATGAAAAGTTACCAGTAGTCTTTCTAAGAAGATAAAAAGAAATGCAAAAAGCTCATGAGATAGCCATGTGGTTGCATTTGTGGCTTTT